GCTGAGAACTTACCAGGCTGAGAAAAATACTACGTAGTAGCAGGTAACAGCTTATAGAAATCCTTTACATGACGTTGTAGAAGCAAAATGCTGATGTATTGTCTAAATGTAGAAAGATGAGCTCAGCAGAAATCATACAGGTGTCCCTGCAGCATCAGCTGCAGGAAATTTTTTTTTTTTTTTTTTTTTTGATGTTTGCCTACATAAGCCATGTATTTGTACACTGCCTAGTGAAATAGGGTCTTGTGGTCATTGACGATGCCAGGAGGGTAGTGTGGTGTGAAAAGAAGAATGCTCTGACTTATTTTTGTCTAACAGGATGTTTTAAATTTAAAACAAAAATAAGGAAAACAGGAGGGAAAAAAAAAAAAAAAAAGTGCTTGTATCTGCACCTAGCAAACCTCTAATGCCATCTGCTGAGGAAACTTGGAAAATGAAGTTTCCAGCTATTTATTGCATTGTTCTTGATACGGATGTATTTTAAAATTTCTATTATATAAATATACTGAAAGGATTTTAAGAAGCTCAGGTGAGCAAGTGTGGGCATAATAAACTGAGTGTATTTTTAAAAGCCCAAACTTTATTTTCAACACTACTCCAGACACTAATCCTTTGTAATCAAAAAACAGTCCTGATATTCAGCTTTAATTTTCTCTTTCTTTGCTCCTAAATTAGGCATCCTCCCTCCCTCCCCCCCAACCAAAAAAAAAAAAAATCCTAAAATATATTTGCTTCTTTCATTGTAGAAAAGATAGCATATTTGCAGCATTGTGACTCTTTAAAGACATCCCTTTAGCAGGCAGCAATACAGGGGAAAAAAAAAAAAAAAAAAAAGCCTTTTCATTAAACAAACTCCAATATGCCTACAAACCTGAATGCAGCACTGGTCTATAGTGATTTAAAATTGAAACAGAAGGAAAACAGTGAGGCCTATTTTTGAATATGAACAGGGGCACAATATTAAAAAAAAAAAAAAGTTGATTTTGTAGACATCTCAAAGTAAACAAAAGTAAACACGTCTCTAAGGTAGAGGCTTGTTTTCATTAGAAGATACAGCATAAAAATACAATGTAAACCAAAAATAATGCAGCGTTAAGATGAACCTCTGGCTGCAGCAGCAGCCCTTTTAAAACAGGTGAAAACTTTCGAGTAACAGGAAAAAAGATAAGAAATATCTCAGTGTTTTAGCTATCAAGATACTAGGCACCCTTTGAAATATTTTCAGCTTAGAGGGATGGAAACAGAGAGTATTTTTACCCAGTTACAGAAAATAAAATAAACAAGCTGTTTGTGTTGTTTATGCATTTTCTTACTGAAAAGAAAAAAAAGCACTTAGAACATTCAGGACCCTTCCCATTTAGATGTCTGCAACAATGGAAGGCATCAACAGTTTGGAAAACAAAGGCTGTCAGTCCATCCACTGCAGACTTCCTGACGAATCGGAACCCCGGTGAGATTTTACGTGTCACAAAACCAGGCCACATCATTCCCAGCAAAGAAAAAACCAACCAGTAGGACTGATGAAAACAGTTGAGACTGGCTGCTTCAAAAAGACAGGCCTGACGTGTTATTACTCTGCTGAAAACGGCACAATGACTTTGAGGATACTTGATGATCTAATTCATTGAAAGGAGAGAAAAATTTAATGACATTCTTAACACCTGCACAGCAAAAGAAACAACAAATCATATTGAAATAGTTGATACATGTTGATATGTTCTCTCTATATGTTTTGTTCTCTCTACAGCTACCTGAAAGGAAGGTGTGGGGAGCTAGAGGTCGGCTTCTTCTTGCAGATAACCAGTGATAGGACTAGAGGGAATGGCCTCAAGTTGCGCCAGGGGAGGTTCAGCTTGGAAATGAGGAAATGAGGAGACATTTCTGCTCAGAAAGGGCAGTCAGGCATTGGGATGGGTTGCCCAGGGAGGTGGTGGCATCACTGTCTCTGGAGGTGTTCAAGGAAAGGTTGGACCTGGTGCTTAGGGACATGGGTTAGTGGGTGACATTGGTGGTAGGGAGATGGTTGGACCGGATGATCTTGGAGGTCTCTTCCAACCTTGATGATTCTATCACAGAATCACAGAATTGTAGGGGTTGGAAGGGACCTCAAGAGATCATTGGGTCCAACCCCTCTGACAAAGCAGGTTCCCTAGAGCAGGTTGCCCGGGTAAATGACTCTATAATTCTATGATTTCACACCTAGTTGGAGCTTTCTTTTACACCGGTCACTAGCTAGGCAGAATGGTCTTCCCACACAAGCCTGAAGGCAATGCGGTTGAGCATACTAACAAGATAAGTAAATAAAAAATTGCTAATGTAACGCTCTCTGGCATTGACATTAGCCTGGAAAGCAGGATAAATTGAAATGTTTTTCATCTTTATTTCTGGAAAGTTCATTGAGCAGAGGGGGTCATTGAGCCATAATGATACCTTGTGATTTCCTAGAGTCATTGAAAAGTACAAAACAGTTCCCTAAATCCTTGACCTAAAGTGTAATTCTTAGATGATTGCAATCAGAAGAAAGAACCCAGCAAAAACATGTATTAATGCTTTACATGCATTAACTAAAATGCATATTCAAATGTAGTTTAAACTACCTGCATAGTTTCTTCCATATTGCCTAGCAATATATGATTTCCAGAATGTAAATTAGCTGGGTTTTCTCACTGTGGCAAAGTCGCCCTTGAATACAGTTAACAGAAAACCCCAATGTGCAGAGCCAGTGATGACCTGACTGAACACAGAGAAACTGAGGAAATGCATGTTAGTGTTTTGTTGTCTGCACAACATTTCACTTCTTAAAGCAACTTATCGTCAACTTCTATTTTGAAACGTGCAGGAAAGTAACTCAAATTTTGGTATTTTAAACCTGCATTATAAACTCTTGTATCTATAGATGACTAAGAGAAGATTTTGTTTGGGGGCTTTATTTAAACATGCTTTTACACTATTTTTTACAAGTTGACAAATTTACCTAGTCTGTGTGATATGAATGGAAGTTTATTGAGAGGAAAGGCTGTTTCAAACAAACACAGCCCAAACACATGCTTGCGGCACACAGCTGCCAAGAAGTGGTAATAAATGTATGTTCTCACATGATCTCATTACAAGAGCTGGCTCTCTTCCATTACTTTTTACTGACCTGAGAAACATGGATTGCTTTTCTGAAGGACTAAAACTTCACATACTAGCACTGTAATTTCATTTATCATTTTTTAAAATGCCCCCCCTTTTTTCTTTTTTTTTTTGGTGTTTGAGGACTTTTCACTTTTCACAAGGCACTCATTGCAACTTTTTTTTTTTTTTTTTTTTTTTTAAATGAGATGGAATAAATAGCTGAAATATGCTATATGGAGCGGGCAACGTGATTCTCTGTGTTTAGGTCCCTTGCAACATAGGCGCAAAGTTGCAGTTTTTTGCTTTAGACACAGCTGACATCATCTCTGCATTGTTATGCCTCTTGTATGTGCACAGCATGATCTAGAATGTGAGTTATAATGGAGACAATCCCAGTGCAAGGTTGATAGAACAGTAAAAGCTGTGCACAAAAGAACAGTATACACTACATACATTAGAGATACTTTGCATTTCTATTTGTTGTACTTCTCAACGTGCTCAGATGATTTCTAGGTGATGGGTTTTGTTAGTATAGAACTAAGGAAGGAATTTAAATGTTATTTAAATCTCTCAAGTTAGCTTAGAAGTAAAAATCCTCCTAATTTAGAGACAAAGCTGAAAAAGGAGTCACTACATATCTGAACTGCCAACACTACGTGGTTCTGCTGCTGTATTGTAATGCTGAGAATGAATGACCAGACCGGAACAGCGAGAGGGCAGATGGATAGACACAAATCCTGCTGACTTCACACACAGCCATGGGATGAGTGACCAGTGCTCCTCTGCTGCGAGGTTAAAGACAAAAATGAAGGACACAAATTTCTTTGTTATTGTTGACTGAAAGAATTAAGAGTACACTCAGACTATGATAATCTTCAGTCTGTAGATACTATGAAAAACTGTGTGTAAGTCTGTGTAGACTGCAAACTCCTCTGTGTTTGGAAGTTTATAACATGCTTTGCATGCATTGCCAGCTGCATTGGCTCTAGGTGCTATTGAAGAATAAAGCTAAAATGTTTGCAATTTCTGATCCAAACTGCATCTGCATCCGGGTTAGAACAGCTTTTTTCCTGACTTCTTGCACAGTCTATTGCCAGAGGCATTCCTGGCTGTTTTTTATGAATCAAACGAGTATCCTGGGAGCAATAACCGCACTCCTCCATTCTCAACTTGATGCTTGTTTTTCAAAAGCCTCCCCTCCCAACCCTGCCTTTAATTTCATGAGTGGTTGTATGGGAGCAGGGACAGATTTTGTGTTTAAATGCTGAGATAAGGAGCAGTTCATCAGGTAGCTGTTCTGCACCTTGGCAGACTCTTAAAATACAGGAGGATGATATATTGCCATACATTGCAGCCCAGAACAATTTATTTGAAACCATAGTCCTTCATGGGTGCTCAACAGGCTTTGAACTATACATACAATACTGAAGATGGTCTCCTTCAAAGACAAACTTATTTCGTGTTAGTTCTGACTTTAAACAGAATCTCAGATAGTTACATTTAATGCTTATAGTCACTCAGTAGAATAGATATCTCTATTTGACCCCATCATCCAGCTATGTTTATAATCAATGGAGGAAAGTAAGACATCCTGAGGAAATAAGTCATCACAGAGTAACTGTTTTACATAGCTCAACTGAGTTGTGCTCTAAAAGTCCTTACATGAACCAACTGGAAGCGTTTCTGATGGTAATCCCACACTGTGTATGTATTTATATAAAGTGATAGAAAACCATGCCATAATTCGCTGTGCTTCACGCAGAATATAGAATGTAAGCACGCATGTAAACCTTAAGACATTGTGTCAGGTAGTGGAGTAAGCATGGTATATTTAAGCTCACCCTCCTACCCATTGGCTATCCAAATTCATATTACAACTCTACTCTAGGAATCTTTCAGCATTTATTTCAAATTATTATGAGAAATTTTTCTGCCTAAGTAGAATTTCTTCCTTATATTATAGCAGTGGTTGCTTTAAAGCAGCCATGATGCTTTCAAAGTCAGTCTGGGTACTGAGTATATACTGAGTATTACTTCTGACGAGTAGGCTAATATACTGAAGGGGGGTGGGAAATGAAACTGGGAGGAAAAAAAAAGACATGCAATATTATTCATATAATATATGAATTTTAAAAAATAAACATACATTATCTTTGTTCATTTTCTAAGAAGAGAAATTGCTCTGACATCTGACTACTTCAGTCTAGTTCAAAACCATATTGTTGCCATTGCCAATTAACAAGAGCTTCAGAGGAAAAGACAAACAGAATAGGTTCAGGTTATCTGCTACACAGGAAGCTATCCATTGTCTGTATTTCAGGAAACGTGATAATCCTTTGTGGTCACCCCATCCAAACATCTTCTTTCCAATAGCCTAGTATTCTGGTGCATGTCTCCTGCACAAAACATTTGAGTCGCTTCAAAGAACTTTCAACTCTGTGCTGAAGTTTTTCAAGCACATAGAAAAATATTCGCATTTCTGATGCTCTTGCTGTCCAGCCTAATGCCTCACACATACGAAGAACAGAGATACTAAGACATGCAGATCTGTGATACTTCATACACTGAGTACAGCCAAACACCTTTTTGGCAAGTCAGGTTCAACTGGCAGTGAACTACAGTTAGGAATTCAATGTGGTCTATGCAGTCAGACCATGAAGCTTCATAAACGCAGAATGATATCTCAGCCTCTGATTGAAATCATGGAAACTACACACATTCAACATATCTATAAGTCAGTGTCACAAATTTTAAAGCTAATTCTATACTATTAAAAAAAAAAAAAAAAAGAACTCTTGTCCCTTATTGTAAATCTGGCCACAAACATAGTCACACTCTGTAATACAGAGCGCTAAAAGAAATATTTTATAAACAAAATACTTTTATTAGACTAGTACATGGATTATTTTAAATCAAGAATTAAAATACAGTTGGTATTACACTTTTGTTACAGTTCATTTAACTAAAGTCAAAGTTACTGATCAACTTCAGTGGATAAAATTTATCTGAAAGAAAGGTGTTTAAAAATATAGATGGAATTTCTTTTTCTCTTTTTTATTTAGTGTGTTTTGGCAATATAGTTTAAACTAGATAACTTATCTAATAGAGCAGATCACTAAGCAAAACCAGAACTTAACTGTAACTGAATACAGACTGTTTTATTGATCTATTTCTGCTTCTGATCTGAAAATGATCCTATTATTATTTTTCCATTTCCATAAGTAAAATTATCTTCTGCTTTTCTCTAATACCTCCATCCAAGAAAACCATCTTGTGTATTTAGAGTTATTCCAGATACGTAGTCCCGTTTTTTTTGGTAATTACTTCTAAGAAGACTCCCAGTGGAGAAATCTCTCATGTTGATTCTTCTTGTTTTATAGCAGCATCATAATAACATCACCCTGACTGGAAACCAGTAGTCACATCCAGCTTGGTACAGTTCTCAACAGTGGAAAAAAGTGTACTTAGGTGTGGCCTTTGCAGACCACACTATCACCTGAGCATTCAGCTACAGCATTTTTTTTCATAGATCGTAAATATGAGGAAATAACTGGCCAAGTGCAAAAGAAGGAACAGACTCTTCTAAAACGAGAGACCTTTTATACAGTGAGTGGGTTCATTCATAGAAGCATCCTAGAATGATGCAATGGTAAGAGAATATAAACCTCAACTTACATTAAAAAATGGTAACCTGGTATGTACATCCTTCAAGTCCATAGACAGAATTGTGAATTATTAATATTTGCTACTTTAAATCACAGCTGTGTCAGAAACATCATTCTGACCCCAGTTCTATTGGCCTGATGCTGTGCAAACAATGGAGTTATACTGTCAGTACTTTCAGATGCTGTTGTAAACAAAGTTAATGCTTTTGTATCAGACAGTATGGTTATAAAGGATAGCTTCATCTAAGTTATCTTTTCTGTTCTTATCAGGGATCCATCTAACCTTTTGTACACATTTCTACTTTTATTTAATATTCTGGTCAGGATCCAAGATCTTAATTTTTTTTTTCTCCTCTCAATTTTATGTTACAAGGAGTCTTATCGGCAGTGTTCTGCTCATCAGCTAAACAACAGTGACTGTTTTCATACTCTCCCAAAGGCAAAATAAGATCTTAACTTAGGCCTCTTCCTTCAGTATCAAAGGTGTGTCCAGCCAGTCCTGCTGTCTCATACTACATCTGGCCACTCACCGTGTCACTGTAATTGGATCACTTGTGGCTCATGCCCGTTTCCTCATAGGTATGGGTGGAGCCTCTCTTCTACTTAATGATCCTAGTGTCTCAAAGGTCTTGGCTCAAAAACACGAAGGACATGGGTGGCTCTACCCTTTTTAAGGACTAATTTGATGACAGGGTTTCAAACTTGTATGAATACTTCCATCTACTTAAATGTAGGAGAAATGTTATGATGGAGCCCTTTGCCAAGTAATTTAACCCAGATTAATAACACCCTCCTCTAAACTGAATCTGTCACTCTTTGTGAAGCTTTCCTAATTACATCAATTTAAATTCATGTAAAGTTAAACAAAAGTACCGTTCTTGTATACACGATTCCTTCCACTCACCCTTTTTCTGGTAGGGTTCTGTACTCTTTGCTGACCTTTCTTTACAGCCAACGTGCCAGGCTATCTTCTGCCAGCTCCTCAGTATTCCTGTTCTTGAAAGGTTTGTCATAGCTTTATTCTAAAATATTAAGTTTGATTACTCACATGTTATCAGATATTCAACCCTATTTATGTATAGCAAAAAGGTTTTGAAAAAGGCAGGTTTTCCAAGTGTGTACATTTCCATTTAATACATTTGTATTTGAGGAAATTTTTCTCATCTGTTTTGCAGTATAAATAAGAAGTACAACAAAATTAAGTTATTAAGGTAATAATCCGGGAAAGAGAAATATCAGTGTTTTACAGGGTCATCTCTAAAACATCTCATTTTAGATGTTCCACTAGATGCATCCAGTGGAACAAATAGCACATACACTTTATGAAACCGTATACCTTACTGTAACACATATCATTTTCCAAGTTATATAACTCTCCAAGAGAGTTATGAAAATCATTTATAAACAACTAAGTCATACTTCCTCCAAGTAAATCACATGACATACATGTAGAAACTGGATTAAGGAGGGATTGTATAGCAGTGCTTGCTATTAAAACCGACAAAAAAAATCACCGATCCTGCAGTTGACTCTGAGCAGTCATCTACCTGAGCAAGACCAAGAAGTCTGATAAAAATTAACTAAAAAAATCAGACAGCACAATGATATGAGCTGTTAAAGAGCTTGACAGAACAGTAAGATCATTGAAAGTATCCCTGTTATATCAATTACATTCCAACAAAAACTTGTCTTGTAATCTGAATTACACATATACTGCCTATTTGTATAAGCACCATGGTAATATGAAGTAAAACCTTATCCATGAAGTCCCTCTGATAAATGGTCCCCTTTACAAATACAAGTTCTATGTACATTTAAATATTTTTGGCAAGAGGTACTGATTCTGTAAATGAAAAGTCACTGCAAATTCTGAAAAAAAACACTAAAACTTGAAAACTTAAACTTGAAAAGGGATCAGAGGTAATCGTTTCCTAGTAATCTGCTACATAATAAATTCTGGTTTTAGAAATAGCAAAGTTCACTTCAGTTTCTGAAATAAGCTGCAGATCAATTGAGACCTTTTACTAGCTTGTACAACACTCTCACTTTCATGTTCACACTGCAAACAGGGCTTGAACCGAGGTTTCTGCTGAACTTACAAGTCAGCAAGGCATGTGGAAGGTCACAACATCTAACTTTTCTTTTCCAGTATAAAAACAAGGGACTAGGAACTTTGGTCAGAGACAAGTATGTTTTAGCCCATCTGCTGAAATGATTTTCAGACACAGGCAGTTATCTTAAATGAACTGCACTCGCGTCCTTTATATTAATCTAATACTCTTGTTTCTATCCTGTTTCACTGACAGCTATGCTCCTGCTCGCCCACCTGCTGTATAAGCAATCCTAGGGTCAAACTTTTAACATGAGGATGGGTCAGGAGCTCGGTGTTGTCAGACCATCTGCTGGGTCTGTCAGCATGCCCCATTACTACTGACTGCGTGCTCATTTCCTAACTTGGCATTAACGTTGCGCTCCATCTTCTGTAAAACTGCCGGAAGGTCGAGAACAGAAGAAATGACATAGTGAGGCACCGGGGAGCTATCTGCGGGGGTTGCCATCGTTTTGTTTAGCCAGACAGTTGCCTTCAGGCCCGCGTTGAGGCCCCCCTGAATATCGGTGTCGAGCGAGTCACCGACCATGACGCACTCGGCAGGCTGCACCCCCAGGAGGTCGCAGCAGTAATGAAAGATGGACGGCGCCGGCTTCTCCTCCTTCTGCTCTCCTCCCACGACGATGGCATCGAAGTAGGGCTGGCAGGCACAGGCTTCGATCTTCTCCCTCTGCGTCTGCCGGTCCCCGTTGGTCAGGAGGAGCAGGCGGACGGCTTTCCGCAGCTCCGTCAGCATGCCTCGCGTCTCCTCGGCCAGCGTGAGGTGCCGGAGCCGGGTGCTTTTCCACAAAAAGTAGCACTCGGCGGCCAGGCTGCGGTTCGCCTCCCCGCCGATGGTTTCGCGGATCGCCTCCTCCCAGTGCGAGATGCGCAGCTCGGTGATGCAGGTCCTGGCGGGGTCGTGGCACTCCTTCAGCAGCTTCGCCTGCACCTTCTCGCAGATGGCGCGGGCCTGGCCCTCCCCGCAGCGGTGCCGGCACCGCAGCGCCTTCACCACCTGCAACCGACAGCACACCCGTGGCACCCGGCCCGAGCCGAGCCGGGAGGGAAGGGAAGGGGACAAGGGGACGCGGGGAGCCCCGTCCTGCCCGGCCTTAGGGCTCGGGGCCGGGGTAATACCTCCTCGATGGCGCGGCGCCCGGCCGCCGCCGTGTCCACCAGCGTGTTGTCCAGGTCGAAGAACACCGCCTTCACGCCGGGCGCCCCCATGGCACCGCCGCACACTCGCCCAGCACGGACACGGGGCTCCCGGCAGATCCTCCCCTTCCCTCCCCTTCCTTTTTTTTTCCCTTCCCTTCCTCTCCCTTCCCCGCCCCTCGCCGCCGCAGGGCGGAGCCTCATGAGGGGCGCGGAGCGGCCGCCCCGTCCCGTCCCTCACAGCAGCCGCCAGCCCCGCTCACCTTTTTTTTTTTTTTTTTTTTTTTTCCCTTTGTAATAAATGTTGGCGTTTGTAAAAAGCGAGGAGGAAGAGGTGCAACAGGCAAGAGATGCCCTCAGGTCGGCTGGCAGCACAGCATCTCTCTGGAGAGGCAGCGTCCTTCTGGAGAGACACCTGCTGGCAAGGACAGCCACAGTCCCTTCCACAGCATCGCAGTTTATTCGAGATAAAGCCGAAGCCAGTTATTTCAGTATAAATACTTTGGTATTTGGGGTATAACATTAGAGTATTTGAAATTCCAAAGGTCAATGTTTTCTAGAACAAACAAATCCCAAAAGGCATGAAAGAACAAATTTTACAGTTGCACGCACCGACTGCTCTTTAGGAACAGGTCCTTTACCACTGGGTAGGCTTGATCAGTCAGGTAATACTCTGTTGTTTTTTGATAAAAAGTTTTGATAAACAGAGTTTATCTTTTCAGCCAACAAGTTTTGTTGATTGGTTTCTGCTAATACTGCTGATATCAATTAGACATTAACAGTTCACAAAGCTGGAGGACACTTCGTATCTTACCAGAGAAACTGGAAGGTCACTCCAAGTCACTTGAAGTTTGGAAAACTGCACCTTAGTCAGCAACCTGCTCGTCAAGCAAAAGATGCTGGGTCACACAACACATAGGGCAAAAAAAACAAAACAAACAAAAAATCCCAGAGTGACCAACCAAAAGACCATGCCAAAGAGCTTGGCAATTAAAACTACAGAAAGCAATATTTAAAGAAAGGGATTCTGAAAAGAAACAGATATGTCTGAGGATCCCGTAGTTAAAGAAACAGAAGGAGTTTTAATTAAGTTTAAGAGGCAAAACCTTAAGAATAATTGCTGTCCTATAATAGGTTTCTTACCCAAGGTGAGTGTTTGGAGATGACATGTTTGAAGTCTTAGATGTTCAGAAAGTCAGAAGAGGTGGCACATCATGCTTTGTAGGGGATATGAGCATGCTGACAGGCTAGTCAGAGAGGGAGAAGGGCTACTAAATATATTTGTGTGTATTTGGGAAAAGCTTGGTTGGTACATTGCTGTATCCCGCTGTCCATAAGTCAAATGATGGTGTTCAATTCATTTTAATTTACCCTGAATGCTGTAAATGTACTCAACACAGAAAAAGCAGTAACTAAATTCATGCTTGTAGTCAAGTAATATCTGCAAGAGGGAGTATGTGATACTTCTGGGAATAGCATATTATTTCTTGCAAGTTTCACCTAATGTGTAGTTAACCTGGCAGTGACAGCCACTGTATTCATAGACAATGTAGAAGAGGATGGGAATCAAGTCCCAGAGTTCAAGGACTGGCTAAATCAGAGTTGTTCCAAACTTCATGGGATACCAAAAGCCTGTCTATAGTTTTACTAACTCAAAATACAGTTGTTACTGTCAACACAGAACAAAACAAACAAACAAAAAGACTTTTTATTATTATGCAGAGGAGTGAGACTAAGAATTCTAAATCAGATCAAAAGGAATATTTAATCTGAGTTAGATTAATAGATTATTCATCACTGCAGCAATGCACAAAACAAAAGTAGAATTATAAATACAACCCAGCATCACTGCAGTCTTAAATGAAGAGACACCTAGCTATAACATCTCTTTCAGGAACTTGAAATATTGAGGCAGCTTCTCTGTAAGCATTTTTTTTTTCCTCATCAGAGACAGCCTGAACAGCTGCAGAGCCCCAGGCTACAGTGATTTACTTTCCTTCCCAGGATGTTTTAGAGTTTCTGATTTTTAACAGTTGTCATGAAAAAGCCCTTTCTATAAAAAATGACATAAACCTCTAGCAACATTTTATTTATTTATTTATTTATTTATTTATTTTACTATAATTAAATGATATCTTGGAAACTAAGCTGTATTCAGTAACCTCATTTTACCCAATAAAATACTACCTCTTACTTGTGAAGGCTTTGCTTTCCAGAAATCTGAAATCAGGTAAATATGTACATGGTTGAGTTTAGCTGGGCATCAGCGAAATGACTGTCAAGTTTTAAACACCATGCTTTAATTTTCCACCTGCCTTAGTATAATCTCCTCCTGAATTTGCTTTTGATTTAAAGGTACAAGAAGGTACCTTGAAGAAATCTATCTGATGAAAAGCTGATTCAAATATTAAGGTTTGTCTTTACTAGATGCTCTGTTAGATTAAGCTGAAACGGTAAATTTAAGCACAATATAGATACAGAAAATATAATTACATACTGGATTCAGCTCTTGAATTTGGCAAAAATAAATATTTTACATTGTCTTGAAATTAAAGGTTGAAAGGTCAGCCAGAGATGTGTAATCATATAAGGCAATTAATTTATATTCTTTAGTCTTTTGATTTGTAAAACAGATTCAGAAGCTGAATTATAGTTGCAAATTAAAAAATGGCTAAGTGGCATATCATTGTGTGAGTACATGCAATAACGGATCAGTTGAGGGGTAGCTAAACAGGATTCAAACCAGAAAACTTTTGTAACCAAGCATAACGTGAAGATGAGTTGTGTTTGATTCTTTAATTAAGTAGAGACCATAGCAATAGTCACATTTCAAGATATGTGCATACAACTTAACAAAAACATCATACAATGGGTGAGCAATTGGCTGACGGGCAGGGCTGAAAGGGTTGTGGTTAATGGGGCCACATCTGGCTGGCAGATGGTCACTAGTGGGGTCCCTCAAGGCTCCGTTTTAGGGCCAGTCCTCTTCAATGTCTTTATAAATGATTTGGATGTAGGACTAGAAGGTGTTTTGAGCAAATTTGCTGACAACACCAAACTTGGAGGAGTTGTGGGCTTGGATGAGGGTGGAAAGGCCTTGCAGAGAGATCTGGACAGATTGGAGAGCTGGGTGATCACCAACCACATGAAGTTTAACAAGGGCAAGTGCCAGTTCCTGCACCTGTGACGGGGCAACCCCGGCTTTACGTACAGACTGGGCGATGAGACACTGGAGAGCAGCCCTGCAGAGAGAGATCTGGTGGTTGTGGTTGACAGCAAGTTGAATATGAGCCAGCAGTGTGCCCTGGCAGCCAGGAAGGCCAACTGTATCCTGAGGTGCATCAAGCACGGCATCGCTAGTCAGTCGAGGGAGGTGATTGTCCCGCTCTACTGTGCGCTGGTCCGGCCTCACCTCAAGTACTGCGTGCAGTTCTGGGCACCACCGTACAAGAAGGACATGAAACTGTTGGAGAGTATCCAGAGGAGGGTAACGAAGATGGTGAAGGGCCTAGAGGGGAAGATGTATGAGGAGCAGCTGAGGTCACTGGGCCTGTTCAGCTTGGAGAAGAGGAGGCTGAGGGGGGACCTCAACGCAGTCTCCAACTTCCTCACGAGGGGGAGTGGAGAGGCAGGTGACCTATTCTCTGTAAACACCAGTGATACGACCTGTGGGAATGGTGTTAAGCTGAGGCAGGGGAAGTTTAGGCTGAACATCAGGAAGAGGTTCTTCACTAAGAGGGTGGTCGCACCCTGGAACAGGCTCCCCAGGGACGTAGTCACTGCACCAAGCCTGTCTGAATTTAAGAAGTGGTTGGACTGTGCACTTAGTCACATGGTCTAAACTTTTGGGCAGACCTGTGCGGTGCCAGGAGTTGGACTTGATGATCCTTATGGGTCCCTTCCAACTCGGGGTATTCTGTGATTCTACTCAATGATTCTGTATACAGTAAGTGATTTTGAGTATTTGAAAAAAGGCTACATACTTATCCAATCAGTGTCAAATCATCTCACTTTATATTACATATAATATTACAATATTAGTTATGAAGGAAATTGTATTAGTTATGGGAGCTGACATATATATTGATGTGACTCTTAAACTTAGTAAGTCCTGACTCTGGAAATATTATTGGAATTCGGTATTATCTGCCATTAGTTTTTAATTATTGGAAGAACACAGAAAAGAGAATAGTGAAGTGCTGTGCTGTGCTATAGCATCGGAGTATATTCCAGAAATTCCATTCTGGAAGAGAAAAGTTCTCCTCAACATATGTTTTAGTGTATTATTTAGAATTTATTGAATATGGATTCATTTTTGTCTCCAGAAATTTGGCTTTTTTTTTTTTTCAAAAAGTGGAAGAGGTTTTGCATAACATAGCAGCCCTTTTAATTCCACCCTTGTTGAAAAAAATGGACCATTTTCCATCACTATTGTGTTCCAGTTGTGAAACTAATCTTGTGAAATTAGCTTTATGCTATTGGCCACCATAGCTGTATTTACGCTAACAAACTAAGCAACACCATACAACTTTCCCAGGCACTAGATTGTGATTGTCTCTATGGTTGGCATTAATGCTATAATGGCTCCCGGTGTGATTTTTGTTTCCTAAGTAATTTCCAGATTGGGCTGAGGCCATTTACTAGAGGGAGTTCGGACACAGCCTAATTTGAGGATAAAGAGAATACAATTAAATGGCATGTGGGCAGGACAGCCATTTTCAAGGCCTGTAAGTGGTTCCAGGCACTGATCATTTACTGGCATAGCATAGCCAGTGGTTTACATGCTTGGAAGTAGAATATGCATGTGTTGGCAGGGTGAGAGTCTTAAAATTTAAGAACAGCAAAGGGTTTTGATTCTCAGTAAGTGTTATATTTGAATAAGAGACTGTTAAAGATGAAACATATTCACTTTGTGTATTCCCATTTGAGGTATGGAAAAAGGTTCCAAATGGCATTTAAAACATTCACCTTACTATGGCAGAATTTAATGTTTTTCTTTAATTCTATCCATTAGTTGACTTGTAATAAAATGTACTACTTTCATTTGATAAACAAAACAGTGTTAGGCATGCTGATTTCACTTACCTCTTACTAAATTAGTTTTACAGAGTTTACATAGAAGAGTGATAAAAAAAAAAAAAAAAAAAGCTGAATATCTGGGAGTCTTTCTGTTTAAGAAGATGCACTGTGTTTCAGAGAGCCCTCTGCTCCAGTCAGTGAGCTGTGGATCCTGGGAAATGTGTACGTTTTCAGAAAAGATAAAGGTAATCTTTGTGCTTTCAAAATGGTTTAACAGTTGGTCGAACAGGTTGTACATGTATACTTGAGTCTTCACTGGAATCTAAATATGCCTTAAAAGATTTGATAAGGTATATTTCTTTACTAGAAGTGTCCAGATATAGAATTGAAGCACTTAAACCACGGATGATATATTTTTTTTTCCTGTCAGTTCACTGTGTGTGGAAAAGTCATGATCACTTCAAAGCAGGACTGCCTGAAAATGCTAGAATTGTACAATGTCCTTGCATGCTTACTTGCAGAACTCACTGGCAGGTTGTTTAACTTCAGACAGCTGTTTGCCTTGCTGTATTTATATGAACACTGTGATTAGCAAATAAGGCAATAAGACCACTCATTAGAGCTTTTTCTATCAGAAATATCTATCTCAGCATGCATTATCTGTGTGCAATCTTATACCTTCAGACACACCTTATTAGTTCCTCATAGGATGGTTTGGGTTGGAAGAGAGCTTAAAGACCACCTGGTTCCACCCCCCTGCCATGGGCAGGGACACCTCCCACCACACCAGGCTGTCCAAAGCCCCATCCAGCCTGGCCTTGAACACTTCCAGGGATGGGGCATCCACAGCATCTCTGGGCAGCCTGTGCCAGGGCCTCACCACCCTCTTCATAGTGAAAGTTTTCTTCCTAATATCTATTCTAAACCTCCCCTCTTTCACTTTAGAACTGTTGCTGCTTATGACTAATATCATCAATTGTTTGTCTTTTTATGTGCAAGATGATTTTACTTGCAAATTTAATGTTTTGAGTTCTCTGATGTTTTTCTCTGCATCCCCACTGCTAGCTGAATGTTCACTTTTGGTCATGTCTGTGCTATGGGAGAGTAGGTACGTTTCCTAGGTGCAAGTGGATGCCCAAGCCATTTCCTCGTTCTAAGTATAAGACCTGAAACTTCTTTCTCTCCTCCACAAGTGTCTGGCTTCTAATGGAAGGAGACCTTGCAGGAGGTGGGATATAGTTATAGATCTGGAAGCTGATCTTGGAGATTTCTTTCTTTCTTTTCTCTTCTTTACTTCTCAGGACTATATTATAATAATAATTATTATTATTTAATTGTAATGAGAGATTTACTGTGAAGTGCCTTAGTGTTCATTGATATCTATAGCATATTTTAGGTTTAAAGAAGAGTTAAACATTCAGCACTGCTGGATGCAGACAATCAATGCTGGAAGGAAAAATTCTTAACCGACTTTTTTTTTTTTTTTTTAAATCTTAAAAGTTCAGTATGTGCAGTTTGGCATCGTCTCTAGAAGGTGGAAGGCCACCTTTGTCAAATCAACACTTGTCAACACAGGAGGAATGCGATGAAGCAGCATGTAAAAAGGTATGCTGATTTTTTGTTTCTTAATTAGTGGTGAAGCTTCATTTGGAATGATTCGTGCTTAATGACCAATCCATTAAACAACTCCCTCGGGGGCAGAAGGGTAGAGGAAGGTAATAAAGGCGGTTAAGGGCTGAGGAGAAACTTACATAGAGAGCTTGCAGTAAAATGGGATGCAATAAAATAATATGACGCAGTCAAACAATATCCAACCAAAAGGATAGCAACGGAGCTGAGGTTTCGAAATATACAAAAGGAAATAGACTTTGTTATGTGGCCTAACCGCAGTTTGTAATTAATTTCTTCGGCAAGTTGCTCAGGACCCCTGCAGCACTGAAGGAGAAGGGAGCTGCTGCGAACAGCAGGAATGGCTGGGGCTGTTACCAGAGGGGACATGGCCGTGTAGCCGGGCTAGTCGGAGAGGGAGGAGGGCTCCCCAACCCCATCTATGGGAAAAGCTCGGAGGGCGTGTCGCTTTCGCTTTCACTTCCAGCCGGAGACCGGTGATGCAGGAGGAAAAGAAACTGGGCGGTGCGAAGCGGGCCGGGCCAAGCGGGCCGCACTCCGGGCTGCGCTGCGGAGCCGAGCGTGTCGGAGCCCAGGTAATGGCGGCCGGGCCCGCTGGGCCTACGGCCCCGGGGGGGGTCGTGCTCAGCGCCGCGGGGCCCGGGTTGTGTGGTGGTTTCATTTATTTATTTGTTTTTAATCCTCGTCTAAATGATGTGCTTCTTCCCGACTCACTCTTTACTGTCATTCTGTTTTGTTTTTTTCTCTGCTCATTTTTGTATGTGTCACCGAGCCTGACAGTCCTCACGTTTTGAAAGCGGATGTTACAATGTAGAGACATTTTAACACAGTTCTGCTTTGAAGGAATCAGTTTTAGTTCTGTCCGGAGAAATGTTACAGATTTTTCTCAGGATTCAGTGAATGACTCAACCTTTTCTTGCCAAGAAATCTGTTAAGAAATCGTTCATAATCATTGTATTCACTGCTCTGCTTTCTCAAGCTGCTATTCCAGTAAGTCTTCAAAAAAGTAGCAAATCAACCACTTGAATTAGAACCTAGAAATCGTTTTCTATGAGCTTTATCCTATTGGCAACATTTTATATTCTGTAGCACAGTAGTGGGCTGATCAAATTGGGGCTGTTGCTGCAGTAGCACATGGAGGCTTAAACATGGCCGTCAATATTTACAGGATCTTCGTACTCAGATACTGTGTCAAGATGGAACGAGAGTGTATGGGCAAGATCAACAGTTACTGTCAAAGGAATAAATTACAGCTTGATTATGTCACCGTGGACATGAAAGGCCCATCTCATGATCCTGAGTAAGTTCACTATGCATGTCAGTAGCCATCAGGATTCTTGATGCAAATTGGGCAAAGATTGTCTTCTGAGAAGTGGAATGGTTGAAAGTGTATGGTAGAGAGCTGTTTGAAAACACAGATGGGTGGGTGGGTACAGAGGATGCCATGCAATGCACAGGGTTTAAGGAGAAAGCTTATTTCAGAGTTTTCAGAGGGAACCAGGAGGAAAAAAGTGAGAAAAACTTGAGATACAGAAAATTTAGTGAGGCAAAGCTGTGTGCGCAAGCAAAGCAATATTCTGTCACTGGTTCCCATCAGGAGGCAGACGTTTAGCCATTTCCAGGAAAGCAGGGCTTCATCACACTTAATGGTTACTTTAGAGGACAGTTGTCAATCCCAAATGCCCTACTTCCTTTTACTTTCCCCCAGCTTTTATTGCTGAGCCACATGGGATGGGATGAGATGGGATGGGATATTCCTTTGGTTAGTAGGGGTCTGCTGTCTTGGCTGTGTCCCCTCCCAACTTCTTGTGCACCCCAGCCTCCTCGCTGGTAGGGCAGTGTGAGAAACAGAAAAGGCTTTGCCTTTTTTGCAAGCACTGCTCAGCAATAGCCAAAACACTATCAACACTGTTTCCATCACAAATCCAGAATGCAGCACCATGCAAGCTTCTGTGGGAAAAAAAAAAAATTGATTCCAGCCCCACCTGATTGAGTACAGTCACTCTTGAGCTGACTTCCTGGTCTGACTCACTGTTGCTTTTTCAGCAGCAGTGCACAAATAATTGTGTGCCAGAGGTGGAGGGGATCAGTAGCTGAGTGTTAGAAGGGCAGGATGGGTTGGCCTTTTGAGGGAAATGGCAGCAGGGAGATATGCTGGAGTTGAAGTGACTACATAATCCTATGTTGCATCTCTGATGTGCCTCTGTTCTTGTTTTGAGACCCAAAGTGGCCAAAAGGGACTGCATTTTAACCTGGGTCTCGTGAATCACCAAATGCATTTTTTTGTTCTAAGCAGTGTAGGTAGCACTATATCAAAGGTGAATGTAATATCATTTCTGGATGCAAGAAATCAAGATTAGCTGATCTTTTCCCTTCATATAGTTTTGCAGCTCTGAGGTATGTTCTGTTGGTAGGGCTTCACAACCTTGCCTTGTAATGATGCTGACCTTATGCATTCTGTAGTAATTTTGCTTATAAAAGGAGTTAAACATTTAGAAACACTGTTAGAGCAAATAAAGAATATGCAGTTTTGATTAGGGAGGTAAAATTTCTACAAGTATTTATACTACAGATTTATGATAACCTGGAGTAAGATGTAGTAAAAACATGCAAATGCACAAATACCTCCACAGGTAATTTATAGTGCTTTGTACATAATAAAAATAAATTTGAATCTGAAAAGGTGTTCAAGTTTTTATGAGACAAAATTTAACAATGTTACAGAAAATTTTCCTTTATTCCAGGTTCAAGGTTGTGGTTAAAATAGACAACGTAGAATATGGCAGCGGCAGTGCTAAAACTAAGAAGGAAGCAAGAGCAGTAGCAGCAAAAAAGACATGGGAAATGATTGAACAACAGGTGAGTAAATTGTATGATGTATGTATTTCCTTTGCTAGTAAAGGTTAAAGATGATTCTCTAAAAGTAGCAAATAAAATAGTAATATTTAATTTGGAAGAGGTTCTGAGTACTTAGTTAAATTGTCTTTGTCCTTTTTTATTCAGTGTTTTTCTACTTCTTACCACTGAACTATTTGCCTTTTTATTCTACTACTGGGTATTATCAAGAGTATTTTCTCCTGTTGTGTTATAGAAGGATGAGGAAATTTATTTGCCTCTGTTAAGCTGCATTGGCATGTCCAGAGTGGACAGTGTTCCTTTTTCATCGTGATGGCTGTTGAGCCTTCAGAATGTCTTCAGAACATTTGCAAGCTATTATTCAGTGTGTCTGTTGCCACTTTGCTCACAAAATATCTTCCTTTCACTTGATCTGTTTAGTCTTTGCTTCTTGGTCATTATATTCTTTATGGTATAGTTAATTCTAACCTCCCTCGATTTTTTTAGGTTTGAATTTTGTTTCTGACAGGTGTTTTTTGGTAACCATTCTCTAATTTACTTTTTGATTCTGAATGCTTTTTAGCACCTTTTGATTGAAATCTTCCCTTACCTCTTTGCATTATTTTACAATGTCACTGTCTTTATTTTAACACAAATGCTAATATATTACAAATGCTGCCTAATCAGGAGACACCTCAAACAAGTCCTGCTTTCCCCTCTTGTACACGCACAGGAGCATTTACAGGAGCTTTCTGCTGCCACCTGTTTACTTGGCTCTGAGGTGGCGAGAAAATTCAGAAAACAGCACTTTTTTATGAGACATTTCGCTGTTCATTCCCTGCGTTTTGTTAAAAGATGTGGGAAATGTGGTGATAGGTTGCTAAACACACAGGTGCAGTACTTTGAAAACCGGGTTTACGTTTGTTTGGAAATCCAGAATGTAATAAGTAATAAGAATGTAGTAAGTCTGGCTTGGGGTGGCTGTCCTCTGAATTTCTTATAAATATTTTGAAATGCTAACAAACCTTGCAGCTGTATTAGTTTTCATGCACTGTTTATCTTAAACTAATTTAATTAAGCTTAAGTTTTTAAGTTACCTTTTCTGTTTTACAGCAAAATAGTCATTCAAATATGCAAGCTCCAGAACAAATGATGTCTCCAGTGACCTCACCATTTGGACTAGCTGTTGATTATGTCAGTCTACTAAATGAGTACTCAAAAAAGACATTGCATGTAGTTAATTACAATAATACAAGCTATCTTGGAGATGCCCACGAGCCCATGTAAGATATACTTAGTGTTCTTACTTGCTTTTAGTACTTCTTGTTAACACTACCATTAGTTAAAAACTAGGATCAGTGGGGGATACCGTTTGCAACACTGATGTTAACCCAAGGGATGGTATGTCACCAGCTGAGGGTGGCAAGGCTAATGGGAACATCTATGCCACTCTGGGGAGTGCTGCAGGTTCAGGAGCACATCTGAAATGCTAGTACACCAGTGCATGCAGCAGGAGGAATTAGCAGATGTCATAGCTGGACCCTTCTCAACAATTTACCGAAGTTCATGGGAGCCCAGGGAGGTCCCTGCTGTGTGGAAGCTAGCCAATGTTACACCCATCTACAGAAAGGGCACGAGAGAAGACCCAGGAAGCTGCAGACCTATTAGTCTATCATCAGTCCATGGAAAAGTTGCAGAGACAATTGACCTGGGGGATAATGAGAAGCATTTAAAGAACAAAGCTATTATCTCACGTAGTTGATATGGGTTCATCAAGGGAAGTCCTACCTTAGTAATTTGATCTCCTTCTATGATAAGGTCACCTGCTTTGTGGATGAAGGAAAGACAGTGGACATAATCTTTCTGGATTTCAGTAAGGCCTTTGATGCTGTCCCTCACAGCATCCTTTGGCCTAATTGTCCAACCATGAGATAAATAGGTTCACGCTGCCCTGGGTGATGAGCTGGTTCGGTGGTAGAGCTCAAAGGGTTGTAGTGAATGGGGCAGTGTCTGGCTTGCAGCCAGTCACCAGCAGTGTTCCCCAGGGCTCAGTTCCAGTTGTGTTCAACATTTCCATGTCCTAGATGCAGGAGTGGAGTGCATCCTGAGCCAGTTTGCAGATGGTACTAAGCTGGGAGGTGCTGCTGACTCCCTGGAGGGACGAGAGGCCTTGCAACGGGATCTAGACAGGTTGGAGCACTGGGCAATTAGCAAGGCATGAAGTTCAGCAAAGGAAAATGCTGGACACCGGTACAGACTGGGAGACAAGTGGCCAGAGAGCAGCTCAGCAGAAAGGGATGTGGGGTTTCTTGTTGCAACAGGCTCAGTGTGAGCCAGCAGTGTGCCCTGGCAGCCAAGAGGGTAAACCCCATTTTGGGATACATTAGACACAGCGTAGCCAGCCAGTGAAGAGAGGGCTTTAGGAAACATTTCTTTACCATGAAGATGGTCAAACACTGCAACAGGCTTCTTTGTGATGTGGTTGATGCCCTGTGCCTGTCAGTATTCAAGAGACATTTCGATAAGGCCCTCAGTAACGTGCTTTAACTTTTGGTCAGCCCTGAAGTGGTCAGACAGTTGGATGTGATGATATTTGAAGGTCCCTTCCAACTGAACTATTCTGTTCTGGTCTGTTCTGTTTTGAACTGTGTTATATGAATCTTTAGAAATACAGTAAAAATTTTGAGATAATCTGGAGAGAATCTAGTTGAGGGCCATTAAGGTGGTTAGGGGGTTGGAGAATAAGACATAAGAGGAGAGGCTAACAGAACTGAGTCTGTTCAGCTGGGAGAAGAGATGGCTTGATGATAAAAGTCAGTGTTGGTAAACTGTCACTTATTTTGGTTGCTCTGGCATCTTTTGTGGGCTTCTCAGCATGTATTTCAAAGACCCCTAGGAACCAAGCGCCAAGGAGAGCCTGCCTGTGTCTCCTTCTGTATACGTAGCAGTCAGTGAATTGTACAAATATTCCAGTTAGCAACAGCTGAAGACTGATGAACTGCATGTTTTAACTGTCCGGATAATATGCTGGAAAGCTGTTCCCCTGCAAAATCAGCCCTTATGAAACTTAAAATTCAGATAATTTGAGATCATCTGTACCTATATGATGTTTTGGGGAGTTCAACCTTAAAAAAAAAAAAGTGTTAAATACTCACTTTAAAATATATATATATATATTATCTGAAGGCACATCAAATTAATTATCTACCATAATTAATTATGTTAAACATATTGAAAATACTCTCCTGAAGAAGTATATTTCAGCTTTTCTTTCTGTAATGTCAACTGACTGTAGTGCTTTAAATCATTAAATTGTGGCTTGTCAGACAGGATGTAAGAAGAGTTAATTTTCTATTTCTTGCAGTTTATGTGGCAGTAGTGCTGCTTTCACTTCTTTTATATTCTTCACGGCATTGTAAAGCAAGCTGATACATACAATTTGAAAAGTGGCTGCACTGTATTGAA